GCCTCCCACAGTGCTAAGATTATAGGCGTGAGCGACGTCGCCCAGCCCCTAGCGCTATTTTTAAACAGCTTTGTGGCCTGTCGGAAACTTGCCCAATCCCACAGTTTCCTTTCCTGTAAACGTTTCTTCATCGGGTTCCTGGAAGGGTAGAGGAGATGGAAGACGTGCCGGGCTGTGCACAGAGAGCCCGGATGCACGGCGCCTGCCTGGGCGCACGGGTCCTTGGGAGACTTAAATGAGCTTCAAAGCCTGTGCCTGTCCCCGCCGCTGCTTTGTCCCAGCGTGGCCCGCAGAAGGGCTCCGTGCTGACTCAGGGAGCAGAGATAGGAAATCACTGTGCAGAGGCTCCGGGCTGGGCCAGCCTTTTGCTTTGGGTCTCGTGTTACTCAGATTCTGTGCTCCTGCCGGGGTGGGGGTGTCTGACGGAGATTCTGGGACAGGTTCAGAGGCAGGGCCAGCCTCCAGGGGTCTTGGCACCATCGAGGGCCGAGTCGGGTCCCTGGTGTCCATGGGCTGGAGAGGAGTACGTGGCGACTGGTCTGGCCGATGTGGCAGCTGCGATTTTTCCCTGATCCTGGAGCTCTGTCTCAGGAACTCAACAGCTCTTACAGCCACCTGACAGCTGTCTCTGGGTCGCACTCCAGAAACAGGAAACGTTTACTGCCTTCCTGTTTTCTGGAAAGTCGTGCGTGTCCGTGTGCTGGCCAGCCTCTGGCCTCAGGTTGGAGGAGGGGCAGGGGAGCAGGAAGGAGACCACACTGAACCTCGGTTTACCTGTCTGTGAAGTGGCACGTCAGTAATCCATCTTGCATAGGGTCACTGCGAAGATTAGGAGAACCCGCATGCAAAGCCCAGGCAGCGGCTGGGAGAGAGGCCTGGGCTGGGAGAATAGAGTTCTGGCTACTCGGTCTAGAGTAGGGTCTCGGTGGTATCTGTGGAATGAATGAATGAATGAATGGGGGTCACCCGCCGGCCCTTCCCCACCCTCCTCCTCTCCCTGCCCTGTTCTACGCCATCGGCTCACCACCACAAGACGAGGTCACCGTTTACATGCGCCACCCATCATCCGCCACTGCAATGGAAACTCCACAAGGACAAGGACTTGGATCTCTATTGAGAGCCCAGCACCTGCCACGTAGCTGGTGCTCGGGAAGTCTTTGTGGAATGAATGAGTGAATGAATGAGTGGGGAGAAAGCAGCTGTCCGGATAAATGCAGATCTTGAGCTGTTCTAAAAGCAAAATAGAAGGCTTCTTAAGGTGGAGGGCCAGGGGGACTTCCTCCCTCGTCCTCCTCCCTCTGGATGAGGTCAAGGGCACCCAGACCTCACTGCCTTTCCCGTCGTCGTAAAAGGGCAGGGGGCTCCAAAGTGCAGCCCTGTTGCCTCTCCTCTCGCCCACCGCGTCCCTGCTCTTCCTCCCCAGGGCACTGTCCGGGGGGCCACGGGCATCTTCCCACTTTCCTTCGTGAAGATCCTCAAGGACTTCCCCGAGGAAGACGACCCCACCAACTGGCTGCGCTGCTACTTCTACGAAGACACCATCAGCACCATCAAGTTTGTGGCCTGCTGGGGGCAGGGGCCTGCCCACCCTTCCTGCCATCCCTACCACCACCATCCCCCACTCCACATGCCCGTGTGTCCCTCCCCAGCGCCAAAGCCCGCAGTGGCTCCCACTGCCTTCCGGATAAGTGACTGTCCAGGTCCAGCATGGCCTGGCTGGCCTCGCTCATGTCCCCCTTTCCAGCCTGTGGCCCCTCACCCTGGCCTGTTCCCCCTTTAGGGACATCGCCGTGGAGGAAGACCTCAGCAGCACTCCACTGTTCAAAGACCTGCTGGAGCTCATGAGGTGAGGGGCTGTGGGGGAGCAGAGACCCTGCAGGAAGAAAAACCAAGTGTTAGTGGCCAGCTGCTAGGTGCTTCGCACCACGGCCCAGCCCTGCAGGTCGGGTGCCATCTCCCCGGGTTGGAGACGAGCCGGGAGCTGCAGAGAGGTACAGGGACCTTAGCTGAGGCCACACAGTTCGTGAGTCTAGACCTAGACCTGCAGCTACAGCCAAAGTCTCTCTGGCTAGAAGCCTTGGACTTGAACCCTCCACCATCGGGGAACTCACCACCTCCCAAGGTCCACGGCGTTGTTGGACAGTTATCTTATAGCATGGTAATAGCATTGTCACATGTCTAACTATAAAAGTAAAACTACTCATTACAAAAAAGAAATGTCAGTAATCATGTCAGATAGATTTAAAGAAGTGAAATCACCTCATATTTTTACTCCTCTCATTCTTTGATGTACATTCAGATTGCTTCAGTACACACACACACACACACACACACACACATTACATTGGCGGCATGGAACCCTTCTGTGGCCACACCCTAATGCCCTTTTGTTAGGATTTCTTCCACATTTTACTGCTGTAAGCAATGTTGTTGGCCGGGCGTGGTGGCTCACGCCTGTAATCCTAGCACTCTGGGAGGCC